AGAGAAGAGAATAAGTATATGAAAAAATGCTCCATATCACTAGCCATCCGTGAAATACAAATTTAAACAACATTGATATACCATCTCACCCCAGAAAACATGGCTATCATAAAGAAATCAACCAACAGCAAATGATGGAGAGGCTGTGGGGGAAAAAGAACCCTTCTCCACTGCTTGTGGAAATGTAGACTGGTGCCACCATTATGGAAATCAATATGGAGGCTTCTCAAAAATTTAGGACTGCAAATCCCATTCGAGCCAGCTCTCCCCCTACTGGAAATTTTTCCAGAGGAACTGAAAATGTCATATCACAGTGATGTATGTGAATCTACGTCGATAGCAGCACAATTTGTGATAGCGAAATTTGGGAAACAACCAAGATGCCCATCATCTGAGTAATGAATGAAAAAGATGTATTTTTATACAATGGAGTATTACTCAGCTATAAAGAATGATAAATTCGAAGCCTTTATATTTAATTGGATGACATTTGAAGATATACTCATAAGTGAAATAAACCAGAGCCACATGTATAAATATCATATAGTCTCCCTAATGTAAGAACTCGAAAGAAGATATAAAAAGAGAAAGATATAACACAATTAAAAGGAAATTGAGAATTTAAGGATTATGAAATGAAGAGAGGGCAAGGAAAAGAGCTAGGAGACATCACAGGGGCAAAGTCATACATTTATATGCACAAGTTGGTTAAAGCAATGATCCTTAGAATCTTCTGCAGGTTTTTGAAACTATCAGTTAATTGGTACGATTCTCATTCTAACTAACTATATACGCTGATACTTGTGAATTAAGCAACTACACTAAAGATAAAAATGTGTAGTACTAGGGCTGTGCTTGCAATGCCTGTCATTCTGGTCTTGTGAATACATGGTGCTTGTCGTTTTATGCCAATTACTGCTATACTTTCTCATAAGCAAATATGTGTTTAAAAAAGGGTAATAAATGAAAACAAAAAACAAGAATAAAATGTCATAGGACTCTCCCGCTATAAAGCTGTATATGGCTAGATTTATTAATTTCTGTGTGAAAATATGTAATCATTTATTCCTTTTTAAAATATGTTTTCTTTTTTTCTTCACATTTTTTAGCGATTTAAATTTTAACATATCAATACTTGATGGTAAACACCTCTTCCATGTTCAGTCCAAGATGTTTGATATTCAGACAGGTAGTGAGGTTAAGCTCAGCTGCCTATGTTATAGGATAATAATATCATTAAGCTTCTCTTCTGGAAGGTTAACAACTTAAGTTTGCAGAACAATAATTAGAGAAAAAGAAGGTCTGCAAGGACAGCCAACATTTTGGCCCTAGCCTTTCAGGGTCAGTGTGGGCTTAGGACAAAGGAGAACCTGTACTGTAACATCATGTAACTCAGTTGTGTCCCAAATTTACTGATCAAGGAGATTATGGGGCCACAGAGGAAAGTGATCAATGATGTAGAGTGTGCCTAAGGAGAGTCACCTGGAGAGAAAACATTTTCTCAGATTTTCACAGAGAGAAAATTGTTCGAGCCATGGCTATGAATTATTCACATGGCTGACACTGAAAATGGATGTACAAACTTGTGGTCCAGGGTTTCAGGGTAAATCCTGAGGGGACTTGATTGACTTTGTCAGATGCAAAATTTGCACTTCTTCTTGTATAGTTCTTTTTTATCTTGGTCTTAATCATCTCGCAGAAAAGCATAAAATGTAAAGCCATTTTAATATGCTGAGCTGTAAAAGGCTCAAGTGAACACCTTGTGACATTTGCAGTCCTATGGATAATCCAATAATGTTTTGGTTTACTGGAATATATTGAATTGCTTTGCTGAATATACACACCTACAATATTTAAAATGCAATGGAAAACCCATCTCTGGCAAAGCTAAACAGAAAAAAAGTGGATACAAATGAAGGACCATTCTGTATCTGCATATACAAAATAGGATAGATATACAGCTATCCTCTCTTAATTCAATGAGAAGAAATATTTGTACTAATAGTGTTTGGATAGGATATCATGTCTGCATCTTGTACTATGAATAACCACTACGAAGACAATAATATGCAATGTACTAATTATTGAAACTGTCCAACTACTCGGTTTTGAAACTGTCTCATTGCTATGTTTTTCTCAATAAAAT